GGTTCAGCAAAAATGCAGCCTTTTTCAGAGCAGATCTCAGCCGCTGTGTTCTGCTGGAAGTTGAAAGTCCCCTTGATAACGCTGTCCATCGCCCTTCATCCCCCTCTCGGAGAGAGATTTTCAGTGTAGTCTCAAGTCTTTCTCCACTGAGTCAGGTGCCTCAGGCTTGATTTCTGGGCTTGACAGTTAACATCTTACCCTGCGTATAAGCTACTGCCAAGGGCTACCTCTCCGGAATGTCCTGTCAACCCTAAATTTAGCAAAGTGCAAGATATGAATATCCCATTATTTCATAAAGGCCACATCACATGGTTTCGGGTGTGTTTTTTTTTTTTTTTTTTTTTCCTGAAAATCTTCCGTAAAAGATGGCAGTCCTCACATTGACCTCGAGGTTATTAAAATCTCAATCCACGTATTCCCTGCCAGCTGGCTGTGCTCGAGGGGTGGACGGGGAGCCTCGGTCACAGGCGAGAGGTTCCCAGGTTCCCCCACCAACCCCACCCAGGACACCCGGCCCACCCTTGGCCTTGAAGAGGAGGCGTTCCTGTTCAAAGGCCTGGGCCCCAGGTCAAAGCCCCCGCCTGCATATCAATCCTGCGGCTCAGACGGAAGAAAGTACCCCCCTGAGTCAGGCCCACCATGAGGTGGCTGGACAGGACTCTTCCTCCCAGGCTGCAGGTCTAACATCCTCAGTCAAGTCCAGCTCAGAATGCGGCATCGTTAGGGAGGGCCCCGAGAGAAGAGCTAAGCCAGCTCATGATTTGTCCAGTGGAAACCAGAGCCGAGGGCAGAAGGGACTCTCTTGGAGCCCTTCCCCCAACCCCTTCCTGCCGCCTGTGGTCCAAGCCTCTGCACCCCCGGCCCCCGGGGCTCGGCTGCTGGGGGAGGGGCCCGAGGGGCACCGAGGTTGCTGGCGCTGGCGCTGGCCCTGAACGGCTAGGACGGAAAGTGGAGAAAAGGAAAGAGCTCCCTCAGCCGGTGCTTCAAGGTAAAAAGACCCACGGTTGATTGACGCAGCCAGGACAAGCCATTTAACCCTCCCACCACCCTCGGGCAAATCAGAAAAAGCTGAGGACCTCACCACACACTCTAGACACTCCCGACACACACACTCAGAAACCCACCGACACACTACACACACCCAGGCACTCACCTATAATACCCCTACACACCCCTACAGGACACGCACGTTACACACCTGCTACACGCGTA